TTTAATTATATTATGTTGTAAATGATAAACTTTTAATTATGTTATGATATTCTATAATTATGTTGCATTATTTAAAATGTTAGATTTATTTAAAATTTAGGATTATGTTGGTTTGGGCTTGGGCGGGAAAGATGGACGAGGCTGGGGGCGGAGGTGAAGGTGAGGGACGAGGCAAGGGTGGGAATTACAAATTTACCTGCGGATGGGGATGGTGATGAAAATTATACTCATTAACAGGGGTGAACTGAGAATGGATGAAATTTTTTTAAGTGNCTTGGGCGGGAAAGATGGACGAGGCTGGGGGCGGAGGTGAAGGTGAGGGACGAGGCGAGGGTGGGAATTACAAATTTACCTGCGGATAGGGATGGTGATGAAAATTATACTCATTAATAGGGGTGAACTGAGAATGGATGAAATTTTTTTAAGCGGGTGCCAGGATGGAGACTACACCTCCCACCCCCACTTCGGTCCATTGATATCCCTACACGTAGTTATTAGATTAAAATTTACAGTCAAATATATGTTATATTTTATTTTTTAGTATGTAATAATATAATAATATTTAAATGATCTAAATTTTAAACGATCTAATCAACCTATTTAACAAAATAAAAATTAATAATTCTATAATCTATATAATAAAGTACAATATAATTCAAATCTCAAAAAATAAACAAAATGACTTTTATTTTTCGAGGTTGAGATCTCTTTAAATTTTTCATTAAAGTTAATCTGATAGCTAATATTAATACCTCAAATTCAATAGGAGAAATATGTCTTTATTGATGTGTTTATAGTGACTTTTTAAAAGTGTTTGTAGAATTTATAATTTCTCATAAGTACTTAAAAAAAAATTATATTTGAAACTGCCCTGCCACCACCACCGTCGCCACCATAACTACCCCCCACCACCACCCCTTCCACTGCCCCACCACCATCACCACCACCACCACCGCCGTCATCTTTGCCATAACCACCATTATCGCAAGTCCACACCCACCGCCCCACCACCACAATTACCACCCCCATCACCACGAACACTGTTGCTGCCACCCTACCACCACCACCACCACCGTCGTCACCCCATCACCATCTCTGCCACAACAACCACCACCACCACAATTGCCCCACCAACGCCATCCTCGCCGCTATTACCACTGTCACCACCCCACCATCAACACCATCGTCGCAGCTACTACCACTATCACCACCCCACCATCAACACCAGCCCTACTGCCCCCACCACTACCTTCACTATCTCATCATCACCCCTACCATCACCAGCCCTAACACTACAACAACCATCACCACTACAACCATCACCACCGTCGAAGTTGTCATTACCCCTACCAGACCACCCCCACCACCACCAACAGTATCGTCATTTACCAACGATTATTACCACCATTGTCCATTACCACCACTCACCACCATCGTCATTTCATTCTTATATTTATTACAACCGCCATCATCATCCCACTACCACCGTCGCCCACCGTTAGCACCCACCACCACTAGTGGTCGTCCACAAGCCACTGTCACCCACATCCACCACATCTACCACCATCACTCGTCATTGTTCACCACTGTCGCCACCCACTATCACCCACCCCCACCACACCTATCACCACCACCGTCATTCGTCACCACCTATCACACTATCGTCCAAAAACACTAGTCATCGCCCATCACCACCGTCGGCACTACCCACCACCATGATCGTCGCCTCACCACCACCATTACCATCATTTACCACCATCACCGTCGCCCACCACCACCCACACCCACTACAACAACTACCATCACCTATGGCTGTCACTACCACCATCGTCACCCAAAACCCACCACCACCATCACCGTTGCGACCCATAGTTGCCACCGCTACCTCAGTCGTCACCACCCAAGAGAGACAAATTTTTAATTATATTATGTTGTAGTCAAGATTTTAATTATATTATGTTGTAAATGATAAATTTTTAATTTTGTTATGATATTCTATAATTATGTTATATTATTTAGAATGTTAGATTTATTTAAAATTTTGAATTATGTTGGTTTGGGCTTGGGCTTTAGCGGGAAAGGTGGATGAGGGTGGGGGTAGAGGTGAAGGTGAGGGACGAAAGATGTAGATCGATCGCCCTAGATAGACAACTACATAGAGAGTCTCTACAAGTCTATATATTATTTTCTTTCGTTCCCCCCGTAAGATCAATATCACAACCAATGAGGTCTGCAAGTTTCACATCTAAGTAATACCCGATCCGATAGTTTACAATATAGATAGATATCAATTTAACAACTTTTGTTTGTTTGGTTACAGTTCATGCCCACTCGTCATGAACCCCCGCCCGCCTCGACGCTGAGTCGCAACTTTTCCTGTAGAAACCTCCTTCAACTGAAAAAAGTGATTCAGTCAGTAAGAAAGTAAGTAAGAAAGTCAAATGCCTCTCCTGCAAGCCGATCGATTCTCGAAAGGATTTCTTGTTCTGGGATTTCCATGATAGGAGGTATTTGACCCCTCAATTTGGCAAGATTCTTCTTTCATTCTTTCTTCGTCAACCGAGGGCCAGAGGCTTTCTTTTGTTTTTGGGCATTTTTTGACAGAGTGAAATAGTGAGGGCTTGAGAAGGATTCATGGTTCTGGTTCGCAGAATGAAAAGAAAGGGGGAAGTAAGAAGTATTTTCTGTTGATTTTATCTTGCTGAACTTCCCTTTTCAAAGAAGGGAAAGCTCTTTGATGCTACTACCGGT